TACTCAGCAATAAAAAGGAGAAAACTCCGGATACTTCAATAGGATCTCGTGCGAAAGAAATCAGACAACAGAAATGTGTCAGGTTAGCATTAACTATCCTGCTGTTATGTCCACAAAGACTGTTGCCCATTTCCAGTCATATAACATATCTCTTCACACACACACACACACACACACACACACACAAACACACATGAAATTTGTGGCATTTTAGAATGTAAAGTCATTACATTAAATAATTTTAAATTTTTCAGTGCTTTTTATAGGCCAGGTGTTTTACATGCATTGTGTTGCTTAATCGGTAAGGTACTCTGATCCTCATTATTTAGAAAAGAAAACGAATGCTCAGAGAGGGCAACTGCAGTTACACAGCTAAAAATAAAGTTGGGACTCAACTTCCCATCCATCTGAGTCCAGGGCCTGTAGGAAAAACCAGTGCCCTCACCTGGCTCTCACTGTTTAGTGCTAGCTTTGTTTTTACAGAAATACGGAACCTAATCTATCAGCGCTATTAAGCTATGTGATTCATCACATTGTGATGGAGAAGAAATGAATCATGGAGCATGGTTACTTACTGGTAAATATGTACATTTATCAGGACATAGTTCTCAAGAAGAAAGAGAAAGCCCTATCTAATTTGGAAGCAACACGGGTCACTTGTAAGAAAAGGTCCCGATACAGATGGCATATGAAAATTTACCACGGTCATCAAACAAATGTAATGATTCAATCCATGGATTCAATCCATGGGCTGCCAGTTTCTAGATTTCATCCACCTACTTTAGTTTCTCACTTTCTGCCTCCTCCAGAAGCTCATAGCACAGTCCACTCATCTTCATTCTCACACCACACAGCAAAGTCAAAGGTTTTTTGCTCCCACAGAAGGCACAAAGACTCAGGCTTCAGTTCCTCCAGGAATTAAGGCAAGATTTAAGAAGTACTTAAATAGCCTCAACTCCATTCCTCCTGCAGCACACATACACATACATACATACAAGATCAACATTAAAAAATGAAAAACTTAGACAGTCATAAAGAAGAAAATAAATTATACATGATCCTGTTATCCCAGGATATCCAATTATTGTTATTTTGTTACTTCCATGTTTTTATTTCCATGTATAATCTTTGGAAATATCATTGGCATCATACTATACATATTCTTTCATATTGTTTTTTACTTTGATATTTCACATTGTTTTATACTTGATATCATTTTCCCATGCCATTTACTATTCTTCTACAATGATATTCTCTTGTATTTATTTAATCATGTTACTAGTCTTGTTAAGATTTGTATAAAAATGCTTGAATCATATATATTTGTGCACATCCTTATTTCCTAAAAAATTTTCCAGTATATGAAATGGAAACTTTTTTTTTACTTTGTCTGTGTGTTATCAATTGGCATCCTACAAAATTGTTTCAACTTACCCTTCTACTATCAGTAGATGGCGTGCCTAATTACCCACACACTTGGCAGCATTTGGTATTATTAATATTATGTCCATTGTTAACATTACCAAACTGCTGATTAAAACTGATGTGTCTTCTGTTTGCTGTTTCTTGTCTGTCAGTGAGTTTGAACAACTTTTCATAAACTTAGCTACCTCTGTTATGCAAAATACCTATTTGTTTTTTACACACTTTTCTACTGCAATGTATTTTTTATTGATTGGTAAACATTTTATATATAAATAGGGTTTGAATTTTTACCTTCTTTGTTGCAAATGGTTTTTTCTAGCCTCATTTACTAAAAAACAAAAACCTTATATATAGTTATATATAGATTCACAAGTTGCAAAATATAGTACAGTTTCTGTGAATAAAGGTTTCTGCATTGAGAACATCTCACATTAACTATATATATAGTACATTACCAAAACCAAGAAACTGACATTGGTACAAATTGGTTAAACAGACTACAGACCTATATAGATTTCTTCATTTATTTTTAAATCTATTAATGGAGATTTTTAAACATGAATTTTAATGCGCTCATTGTTAGTAAAAAGAACCCAAACTTTACACATCTGGTTTCCAGTTCCACATGTAAAAAGCTTGGAAGTGGCCACTCTATCTAAACAAGTAAAAATCTAAAGAAACTGAAAAATCAACAACTCTTCTTGGATCCACAGGAGAGAGGAAGACACAGGGCAAACCGCTGCCCTCAAGATTGGAGACAGACAAATGCAGAGTCGTGACTCACAAGAGCAGAGACTCACAACCAGAAATGACCATGGGAACCAGTGCCGGGGTAGGAAAGCCCGGACTGTACTTGATGAATTGCTGGAGGGTCAAGGGTCTGAGAGTTAACAATTCAGACATTCTCTTCTAAAAAACCCCTAGTCATCCTCAAACATTACCTATTATGTGAAGCTTTATTTAACCTCCTGACGTATTCTCCCTTCTGCTTACATAACATTTTGTATATATACTAAGTAAATTCAACAAGTAATACTAAGACTACTACACACAAGGTACAAAGGGTATAAATACAAATAAGGTAACAGTTCTGCCTTCAGAAACTCGTGGTACTGTATCTATGACAACATCTCTGATATACCTCCCAGCCTTTTATCCTCTACATTCATTCTGTCAACAAATTTGGAGGCACTAAGGACACAGGCACCCTTTTTTGAAATAATTTTTCGAAATAATTTACCCATGTCTTTGCACCATCTGCAATCTGTCTATATCGTTTGACCCTCACAAATCTGTACTTGACTTTCACAATGCCCCTGAAATCTTTCCAAACTACTCTTATTTTCTATCAAGATCTAGCCAGACCAGGGCCACCAGTAATTATCCCCCAAACCTAACAATTCATTTTTTATCCTTCCCATTTCCCTAGTAATTTTATACTTGGGTGGATGCCTTTGTGTGTTCGTGTATTTTGTATTTATAGCTATAATGGTAGAAACTTGCAGTAACAGCTCATCGTATAAGGATTTGGAAATAACATGGGCCAAATCCCACATCCTAAGACCCAGCAGTAAATATAATAAAAGTCTGATATAACACATTTAACCTATAAGAAGGGCACTGTTTCTGTCCCTGAGCAGCTCATTATAGAGATTCCACTGCATAGCTATTTCTCCCCGTATCTATGGCAGCCTGCAGACTGCTTGAGAGCACAGTCATTGACAGGAGGGTTAGATTAAATGACCTTTGGAGGGTCTATTTCTACCCCTTGAAATTCTATAATTCTGGTGAGTTTCCTTTCCTTGGAATTATGGCACAAAGGTTTCATGTCACCAAGTCCGTGGCACATAGTCTGTCACAGTAGTTAAAAGTACAGATGCTGGAGACAAGAGCAACCAGCCTCAAATCCCAGCTTTGTGTGTGACCTTAAAACAAATCACCTCGTGTCTCTATATTTCCATCAATTCATGTGTAAAATGATAATCATTGTACCTATCTCATAGGTATGTTGTGAGGATGAAAGTTAACACATATAAAGCACTTAGAACGGTGCTTACCACATACTAAGTGTACAGCAAACTAGCAAGGTGGTACCAGCAGATATGTGTTCAAACAAATTCTACAAGTTCATGAATTCCCAATAACCTAAAGAAATGTAATAGGCACTCAGGAAACACTGGAGACTGATCTTGGGTCTGAATTTTATAGACTTATCCAAATCCTTTTAAATACCTTGTCTGATTGAAATGAAAAGATTTTAAAATTAGAAAAGCAGTTAGTCTTTCTTGAAAACTCTCAGCATATACATCAGGCATATACTTGTTGAATCTACCAATGAAATCCTATTATAAGACTATGTTTGCATAATTCTATTATGTTAAAAAATATTCATATCCATTTTTTAGAGCTCAGATCAAGCATTTATACTATCTCTTCTTTCCTCAATCTTATTGTAGGTGTGTCAAATGTTCTAATCACTCCACCAGGTACAGACACTGACTGCAGTCTAAAAGATATTATCGAAAAACATATTAAATAGTTCCACAATGCTTGGAAAGGGAAGCTCACTTTAAACTATGGAGTGGATTAAGCAGTGGGTAAATTTGCCACACTTGCTCTTAAGTCATTTAAAAAGCATTAAAATATATTTCAAAGATTTCAAACATGCAATTATTTTTGTTGCCACTCAAAACATAAAATAAACATTGCTTTAAAAAGATATGTGCATTTTTATAAAAACAAACAACTCAATGAATAAAAGTTGTTTTCCCAAACCATTTTTCATACATTTGCAACCCATACAGCAAGTTTTAAGTCTCAAATTATAAAAACCATTGGTAAAATGTATCATTGTCCCCCCAAATTAAAATGCATTAAACTCAAGGTGTGGTTATTTTATGGCAAACTCCTCTAAAAATACGTATCATGCATTTATTCAGGCGTTCCATTCACTAGCAAAGTTGTATTTTGTCTAGCTAGGTGACACTCATTTTTTGTCCTTATCTTATGGATCAGTCTTACTTTATAATCATACCTTCCTTGTGTTTATCTAAAGTATTTTTTAAATTAATTTAACAAATAAATCTGGATCGCCTACTCTAAGGTACTTCACTGGATATTTGAAAGAGTTTAAAGCAGTTACAACAGGCTCACCTATCAGAGCTCCCGCTGAGTGGACATAAAGGCAATGCAGATGCACAGACAGACTATAAGACTGTGTGCTCTGTTCCTATCACTTTACAAGTTTCAGGCAGTGTCATCACGATGGAGACTATACAGGCCTACCAGACCTCTCTCCTAGACCACCCCTGCCTGCTAATTTCTTATTCTGTGATTCCCTAGTTTAAAATCTGGCCCCTACACCCACTCCAGGTTGGTGTGTTTGTTGACAGACACATTTAGAGCCTCTTTGCTGACTCAGATTTCTCTCCACCCTTGAGTCCCAGACTTTCGAAGCTCCAGGTAATAAATCTGTCAGCCGGTTCTGCTTTGTAACACACTACGTAGCCTAGATCCCCTCTCCACCCCTGGCCTACCCTCTGCCCAAACTGGCCTGCCATAGAAAGAGAATTAGAAAAAGACAAAAGGCAGTAATTTTATTATAAGACTGAAGAACGATGGATTACAGTAAGTCAGAAGAGTGAGCAACGGCTTCCGATTTGGAATCTTCTTTTCTGATGTTGCTTAGTGATGGATGGGCTTCAAGGATGCCCAGGAGGAGGAACTGTAACAGAAGAAGTACATTTATACTCATAAAAAGATTAGATTTGCATTATCAAAATAGTATATTTTTACATGGGTGAATTTCCCACTTTTTTTTTTTTTGTAGTGTCATCATGGTAGTAGAGAGAATAACTGGAACTTTTTAAACAGCTTTTCCATGCCAGACACTTTCCAAACTCAGTTTTATTTATTATTCCCCTCCATATTCCAATGGGAACGATGTTTTATCTGAGGGTGAGATACAGAATAATGCCAAATGCCTTAGGGGCTACAGCTTCAACCTCCATTTCTTACCACATTCGGCTATAGAGTTGCTGTTGTTTCTAATACTGATTTCAAAGTGAATTGGAATTTATATCCATTCCAAACACAATGAACAGCTTTCTATTAAAATGTAACATTTATACAAATTCCAAAACCTTGGTCTCAAAGGCAGCAAATCAAAGTAGGTGGCATATCCTAAGAAGGCAGACCCATAACTTCTATGGATCAGTAGGGATAGGTGCATGAACTGGCAACAGGAATTTCCCGGGACCTAGTTTGGCATCAAAGAGGAGCAGAGGGGTGAGGGCTAAAAGGAAAATTACACAGCAACCCCAGAGTTGCAGGAAGCAGCCTGTTGTTGAGGAAAGGCCAGAGAACAGAAGTGCAATGTGTAAAGCCATTGATCTCTGGTGGCTAGGGAGAGTTACAGCCAAAATAATTCAAACACACAATCTTGTGTCGTAAGGAGCTGTGTGTCTGTGAACAGTAAGAATTCCTGTGGCCTAGAACATGGACATGGCATCTCTCCTCCATAAAGCTCCTGCCAGTTGCTGATCCAGAAAAAACTCATATCAGCAAAGCTACTATAAGAAAATAAGAGAAAAAAATAAACAGGAATAAAATGGAAGACAAAGAATACTCACTAGAAAAAAATGTTTCCTTAGAGTAGATAAAAATGTGGGTCAAACATATTGCCCTAAACTTAAAAAAACAAAAGACCTAAACAAAGCTACCATATTTATAAAGCAAGAGCTCATATCAAATATACAAGAGCTTGGGGATGATACTGCAAGATTTTAGGGAATGAAATATAATGTGACAGAATCCAGGAAACAAATATTTCACATATCCTGCTAAAAACATGGAAAGAAACAAGGATGTTAGGAATAGAAAAAGAGTGCAATTTAATAAAGTAGAAAATAATTAGAAAAAATAATAGCTAAACAGGACAGATAAAAAAATAGAACAAAACAAAAAACAAACCTTAACATATGCAATAACTAGTATCCTGAAGAGGTAAAAAAATAATAATAAAATAGGAAAATGTTAAAGATATACTTCAAAGTAACTCTCCCTAAACATAAGTCATGACTCTATGGACTGAGGGGGAACACTGAATTCCAGGAAAAATCGACACAAAACATTTAACCTTTTAGCAAAGTTACTGTAACTGAAAGAAAAAAAACCAAACTGTTGTGCATCAAGGCAAAGTTTAAGTCAGAATGTTAGTTCCCACTGAAATGTTCAATGCTAGAAGACATTGGAGCAATGGTACAAAGTTGTCAGGAAATAAACTGTGTGGTCCAAGAATTGTACACAGCTAAATAGTCATTAACATGTAATGAAAATTAACATTTTTTGAGCTTGGAAAAACTAAGGAGTATACCCCAAGCCCTTCCTGAAGAAACTACTATAGGCCAAATTTTGAAAAGCAAAGAGATAAATGGAGTACTGGTCCTAAATATTGACTTCATTTAACTGTAGGACTAAAACTAAAATGATTTTGGAGATTATGGTCACAGAACAGAATTTACATGTTATAAACTCTAATGATGTAGAAGTAATATAGCAAAGGTTTGGAGGGGAAGAAGACAGATGGTGGATAGTAATGTCAATATGCTGATTTCTCATCTGGTACAGCAGAGGATAGAAAGATTATTGAAGCTGATACATCAATGTAACAAAGCTATAAATAATTTCAGTCTAAAAAATATATGAAAAATTATATAATCATAAAGAATCAGGTGAGTTTGGGTGAAAGATGAAGGGGAGGAAGTAAAAACAATGAAACTAAATTTATCATTACTCATGTTTGGAAGTCAATAGATAGCTGTCTAGAGATATAGAAGTTTAACTATTTTGGGGAAAGTGCACTGCTACATATTGCTGGTGAGAGTGAGTGTAAAAAGGACTTCATAGAGCTTCTCTAGACCTACTGTATGGGATGAAGAGACAAGAGGTGACTCTAGAGCACAGCTTTAGAGTCTGACTGGAAGTGGAAATGCAGCTGAGGGGCAAAAAGTTCTTTTCTACCACTAAGTTATGAACTGTGTCTCCTTGTTATACAGTAGTTAACAACTATCATAATTAGTGACCAAACAACATCTTTTGAACACTATGTCCCACTTCCCTCAAGAAGGCAAAACGTGCTTTCCCAGCTTCCTTTACAGCTAGAATACAGGCATGTGACTGAGGCTCCAACAATCAGACACAACCACATAGGAATTTGTTACCCAAGACAGCAATGGAGGATTCCATCTTTGGCCACTGTTGAGAAATGAGGACTCCAGCTTACAGGGGTGGCAAAAGCAGAGGTTTGGGTATCAAGCACCCAGAGGTGGTAGCATTGAGTCTTCACTGGAGCAGTTCTAAAGAGTGGTTTGGGCATTCTTCTTCACTGGCTGCCTCTGTGCTCAACAATCTGGTTTTCCTATTCTGTAAGATACTCAATATGCTTTAAAAATAAATTCATTTTCTGCTTAAAACTATGTAGAGGGGCGTTCTGTTACTAAGAAGCATGCCTGATTATGTATTGTCTGGCAGAACACACACTAAAAAAAGCAAAAAACAAATTTAAAACATCCTTTTGTGTTAAGAAGACTGAAGACCTACTGTTTTCATCACCCCCCAGCCTGGAGATCACTTTGCACAGTAGCTTCAAATTAAGAAGCCAAGTATCTGTGAATGGACCTTCCCTAGAACATTGTATCTATTTCAATTATAAGTTCAAGAATGGGCTCTGTTTAAATAGGTCTTGGTTTTAAGTACAATTATACTGGAATCACCAAAATTTAATGCATTCCAAATAGGTAAAGATCAAATACCCCTAAATCTTGCTATCTTGACTTGCTGAAATCCTTTGGAAGATTTTGTGGATGATTCTAAACTCATCTAAAATGTTTATTCTAGGCTCCAAAGCTTGCTTTTAAGCCCCAAAGGTAATCAAGTTCACTGCCTACTGTGAAAGGATTAAGAGATGTCCTTTGCATTGTTCCTTCTCTTGTTCTTGGCTATGAAATCCAACACAATATACACATTTAACCTGGCTTTTCATGATACACAAGTGCAGCAGCTGGTGGGTTTTACTATGGAAAGATGCATGTACATTGGCATTTACGTGTTGAGTACAAGGCTTTCTAACCCAGTGGTTTCAAAGCGTGGTTCCTGGGTCAGTGTTGTCACCTGGGAACATCTTGGAAATGCAGATTCTGGGGCCCCATAGCAGATTTACTGAAATGGAAACTCTGGCGATATAAACTCTCCCAATGTTTCTGATGTATACTAGTTTGGGAAAGTAGTTAGGGAACTACACGTACTTTCTTAGGCAGCACAGCTAACCACTCCAAACAAAAGAGTATCTACTTCTGAGAAGGGAATAGCAAATGTACCTTATAACACATTTCAGAGCATTAGAGTTCTTCCCCAGAACTAATCCAACTTCACATGTAGCATCAACTCATTTCTTCTTCTACAGAGGAAATACAGGACTCTTGGTTGTTAAGAGACAATACAGAAGTAACTTCCTGGGACCGTGAGACATCAAGTACCCTTCAATCGTCTCCTCGGGCCCCATTCCTTTTACCTTTATTTATAATGAGTTTTTAAAACTCTCCATCATCCTTGTCAAGCTCCAGAATAAAGTATAACCTCGTTCTACTGTTCAAATGAATTAAAACACATTTCCTTCATTGGACCATAGAAACTAATCCACAAGACCTGGGCTTCTTATATTCTACCTGTGTTTTACAGTAAAGTTGTACTTCTAGAAATAAAACATCAAGTGTTGTCTGTCCTTTCTAGCTATTGATTCCTCCTCCTCACCCATTCTTCCTAAAAAAAAGTTTAGTTCATTGTAAGGTCACTAAGTATTTCACATATATTGCATTCCACATTCTGATCCTCATTTGCCCTATTAAATAAGAATTGACCAGATGGATATTCCTCTGACTCTCTCTCCTGAGCAGGTTTTAGTTAATTAAAAATGATTATTTTTACTACATATTTTATAGATCAGCCAGATGTTACCTGTGGTCATTTCTGGAAAGGATCATTTGGTGGTGATTACAAAATATATATTTTCCTTTGGGAGGCAAGACTCTTGAGCATGATCAGGAAAACAACCGTAGAAATTGAATTCACCTCATACCTCTTGTCTAGTGCCAAAATGGACATAACCTTTCATTTCCTTTGAAAGTACAATCTATTCCAATCCCTTCTTCTTCTTTCTATTTCTACATTCTGGCCCTATTCATGTTGTGTCAGCAAAAATGATCAAGTTGATGGAAGAAACATTAATATTGGTCTCCCTCTGTACTAGAAGTGCAAATTGATTTTTCCAAAGACTGATTTGGTTTTTCTAGATTTGACTTAAGACATATATGAGTATGTATAACATAGCAAACTGTTCTGCTCAGTCAGGACAGATGCCATATCATGTTCTCGCAAGGATGCACTTCCAGGTAGATATCTGTAACAGTCCCTGCTTTGCACAGGTCTCCTCATATGCTGTATTACATGCAAACTAATTTACCTAACTTTCGTGTTCGTGTTGAAATAATCCAGAATGAGGCAAAGAGACTGTCATTAGGAAATTGTTTTGTGATTAAACTATCATTCTCTCTCCATTTGTAGACGAGGATCCAAACTAGCTCCCCCTTAAAAAACAAAAAACAAACAAACATTAAACTTTCATAAAAAGAAAGTGTTCTTGAGATCACCAAAAATTCTGAAAGTCTAACAGATGAAATTAACCACACTATCACTTGGACTAGGTTTAGAAGGTTGGTCTTCTCAGAAACACCAGTCAGAAGACTCCTAGAGGCAAAAGTGAGTCTGAAGTTTACATGCTGAGGAACATAATTTCAGTATGGTAGGATGTATAAATAAGTAAGGAATTGTCAGTGTCTTATATAATATTTCATGGCATGATGTGATCTAGCTTCTGGGCTCAACTTTGACTTTGTATGTGACCTTGCATACTTCCCACTTTGAGTTTCTTTTCTCAGGTAAAAATGGTGGATGGAACTAGATAGTCCCTTAACTCATTTTAAGCCCCTATATTATATGATTGGTTGTTTAAAAATAACGTTAAAACCTTAAATGCTTTATTGAACAATTGTGACAAATGGGGGAAGGGGGACTGCTTTTATTAGAAGCTTTAAACACAGAAAACAGCAAAAACTCATTTTCTGCTTGTATAAAGCGTCTGCTCCCAGTGTTCTCAAGTACACAAATCTGTTTGTACTAAATCAGTCATCTCAGAAATAACCTCTTCCTCGTATGTTTTCATAGGAATCAACATTTACTAGAGTTTTCCTATTCAATCATCTATTTTACATTTGATTTCAAGAGCCAGGCAAGGTGGAGACATTCCTGATGAAGAGGCTAATAGTCCTTGGAATAAATTGTCCCCCAAAATCTAACATTACTTACCTTTGGATCAGGCCATGCTCATCAGCCTCTAATAGGTTTTAGGGACTCACCAGTCTTAATTTCCTATGTGAATCTATAATTGTCCGCAGAGGTCAATTTCAGTGGATGCCTCATATAAATTAGAATTGAAGATAATGATGCCTGATCAACTAAAATGACCAGCTGGGTTTAATGGGAGGAAAACAGAAACCCCTGTGAAATTGGAATAGCTTCAAAGGTGATAGAATGTAATTATTTTTCTGCAAAGTTTCTTCTCCAAAGGTGACTGGCCATTGTGCTGGTGGGCAACTGGGCCAGCATGTTATGAAAGTGGACATGGCATTCAGAGACACTGACCACATCAGAAGTCAAGAGTCAGCTTTCTGCTAAGGTGTTGGGAGAAAGCAAGGTTTTTTTTCCCCGTTCTATTTTAGTTGTTTCATTTAGTCAGAGAGGTGCTTGGAGGGATTTGCCTAATTGACTCCTGAGAGGCAAATTGTAATTTAGATTGCTACAATAAATTTTTTTCTGTTTATAGCCATAAAACATTTTCTTGGATTTATTATAACTATCCTCATGGTATATCCTTTTAGGTCTGAAAGCACCTTGACATCACCTACCTCTACCCCTTTATGTTACAAATGAAGAAACTGAGGTCCAGAAAACTTAGGTTCTATGATGTAGTAGAGATGCTAGCAAGCAAAAAGAGTGAAGGTGAGAAGCTGGGAGAGACAGAGCGCAAAGGAACCAGTAGACTGTGACGCAGATTATTGTGCCGCACAGCTGACAGTGAGCTCCGATTCTGTGCCTGTGTGTGCTGGGGAACAGTGATACACATGGGTGTCTGCACAGACTCACAGACTGGGCTTGACTCTTGACTCTGCTGGTTTACAGCTTTGTGACCTTTGGCAAGTTGCTTAAGCTCTCTGTGCCTTAGGCCCTCATCTGGATTTAAAAGGATGTTAATGTCAGTACTTCCTGTTGTAAGGATTAAAAATCTTATTGTATTTACCTTACTGTTATAGGGATTAAACAAGGATTAAATTGATATCTGTAAGGAGTTTAGCACTTGTTAAGTGCGGTGTTAGGGTCTGCTGTTTTTCTCCTATTCACTATACCAGAAAATCTTAAAAGTTTCAGAATACATACATAAGTTGTATTCATTAATAATGTACTGAGGTACTTTACCTGAGATGAATACCCAAGGACTCTCCTAGAAAGATTCAGAAAATCATTGATAAAACCTCTTTACAAGTTGAATGGATTAATTTTTCAATATGTATTGCTATAATTTAAAGTTTATAAAAAAATAAACAACTACAGGGATTTATTTTAATTAAAAAATTCAGTGATATCCAGAGTTTTATATAACAATGACAGAAGTTTCATTAGTAAAACAATTAATAAAAGAGCATATCTGTTGCAAAAATTAAAGATGGATTTTTGAGGCAGGAAATTAGTGCTGAGTCAGTGATTCCTGAAGTCGTTAGAATACAGCAGCAGGTCAGGGATGCTGTGTTTTCTTTTGCTAGAGCACGTTTCTTGGGCAGTTTAATGTTTTTTATTCCTCAGAATTCAATGTTGTCAAAGCTATCATTAACATTATACTCAGGGTTTTTCAGAGAAAACCTTCACAAAATTAACAGGTCTTACAGCAATTAAGACCATTTTAGATGTGCCTGAAATGAGTGCCATGTGTGGATTGGTTGGGTTTTTTTTTTCTTTCATTCTAGAAATTAAATTCAGTGGAAATTTTAAGGGGAAAAAAGTCAGCTACCTATTCCTCCATTTTTTAATTAAATAATTGTAGCAATTGTGTAGAAAAATCATTTTCCAATGCTGTAGAAAACTTCCCTGGAGTTCACTGCTGATTTAAGACATTGGAAGGTCATGATAAGCAGCATATCTTCCAGTCACATGATGGTAAATCTGTGAGGAAGGCAGAATTTAGGTAATTAACCATTTTATATTATTATGCATATCAATTAATAATTACTATTACAGAATAATTAATAACTTGAATGAACATTTCATTACAAAGCCCCACTATTATGCGCTTCGGCAGACTCTCCATCCAGGTGGAGGTTTGCTCGGAAGAAGGCAAAGGTTTGGGTGTGATGAGGTACATCAGATAAGTGTTCCTCTCTAGTTCTCACAGCCCACTAGGTGGCTTTTCACTTCTTTCTCAAAAACACTTTCAATGTGTTCCAAGGACAGTGGGTTCTTATTCACCTGCCTCTCGATGTCCGAAAGCAGAGTGCTGGCACCGATTCGAAAGAGCTCTGGCTTCAGCCATTCCTCTCCCAGCTCCTCCTTCATGAGAGAGAGCCAAGCAAGGGAATCCTTTGCACTGCGGATGCCTCCTGCTGGCTTAAAGCCTACCTAAAAGGGAGGGAGGGAAAGATAACAAGGTATTGTTAGCTGAGTGCCTTAAAAAGTCTTGATTCTCTTTTTTTCCAATCCACTTCATTCAGTTCACCCAGCTAAAGAGCTTAGATCACTGACTCGCCCATTCACGCTACAAAATGACTTTTCCAGGATTAATGGGAAGAATGCCACCGCTTCTGAGGAGACACTAATGAGAGTTAATAACCCTCATTAGCATTTCACTTATTGGAAAGCCATAACCCTCAACCATCTAGACTAGAGCTGTGAACCCGGGCTAAACAAGAGAGGTGTCAATAAAAAGGAACACACAGCACAGAAGCCCATTCATTCTACCAGCAAGCCTGTAGACACCTTTCAGCCCTTCATCCTGAGGTGCAAATGACACATAAGTGTATTTAAAACAGGAAGAGCAAATCAGCGAGGTCACACTAACCAAACCGGCAGCAGTCAGCAAGGAGAGCTGACAGTTGTTTTAATCAACTTAATAGCTGCGGGGCCTTTTTTTCCTACGTTGTAAATAGAGTTACAGAGAGTGGCCAGACCAGTTAAACAAGCACAGTAGAAAAAGACAGTGTAGGGCCTCTTCACATTTCAGCGTCTTTGAAGGCGACCATAAAACAGCACAATTCAGCCAGTATCTGATGTTTGCAAATGATGTCTCTGAGTCCATTAGAAAAAGATACATGTATTCTATATACAGGAAAACCTGCGTGTCTGGATTTACTTGTCTCAAGAATTTAACTATCCAGTAAAGACTCTAGATGGGAGCAATCAAGAAAACACCCCACAGCCCAAGTACTAAAGCTCACATGGAGAGCTGTTGGTTTGATAGGCAGCCCCAGCAGGGGTGACAACTAACAGAATGCTAGAAAAGGGAGACAATGATAAATGAATGGTCCCATTATCAACCCACACTAGAAACCTCACGGTTAACCTGGGCTCCACCATTTTCCTCACCACACCACACCCAATCGATCAACAGTCAAATCCAAACAATCTACTGTCTCAACTTTTATATGTCCCCTGGGCACTTTCCTCTCTACTTTTACTTCTATTGTATTAGTTGAAATACATTGATTCTCACATAGACTATCAGTAAAGGTTTCCCAATTGGTTTCCCTGCCACAATCACACTACGATAATGCTTAGCAGTAGCTATGGAGAGATTCTAACCATATCTGCCCATTACTTTGGATTCCAAGTGACTCTAAGAGTGAGGGGAGGTGGCAGGTGTGGGGGAGATACGTGGGGTGAGGTTATTTATTGAGAAGAGCCAAAAAAAATCAATTAGCTGATATTATGTAGCATATTTGTTAATTATAGAAGTACTTCCATCAATTAGGCACTGATACATACAGATTTTTCTATATAATTCAGTTGTGTCAGCAAGTCTGTTTGATTCTTCTAAACAGGTTCTTGCATAAGTTTGTACTTTTTTTTAAAGGGACAGAATATGGAAAACATAAATCTGCAGTGAAATCAGTTATGAAATATTAAACCTCTGCTTCTCAGGAGTGACACTAATCATGGTCGGGAAGGCGGCTGATCACATTTTAAAACACCCCTTAAATCAACGAGGTAGAAACTTTCCAGTCTAAGGGCAACACAAGCAACTTGTCAACAACCTGAAACATTCTGCAAGATCCTACACACTGCCTCACTGTGTGAAATCAAGTGTGACTAAAATGAATATGGTTTCACTTGGACCTATTCGTTACTTTTTTTTTTTTTTTTAAGATTTTATTGGGGAATTGTGGGGAGGGGAACAGTGTTGGGGAATTGGGGAAGGGGAACAGACAGGTAGACAAATTGCTGTTTTTGTTCTTCAGTCTAGTTGTGGAGGACGTCACTTCACTGGCCCATGTTGGTATGATCATTGTGCTCTTCCTGGGTGAGGCAATCGGTCACCGGTCATTGGTCAGCTGCCCACAGCAGCTCCCAGCAGCTCACACAGGCTGCCGGCCACTCATGCTGGCTGCCAGGCACTCGCGTAGCTCACAGCAGCCCACTGCAGCCCTGCTGCAGCCTACACCGTTGTTGGCGACTCACAACAGCCCAGCTCCAGGTGGAGCTGTTGTTCATCATCTTAGCTGTAGAGGGCAAGCATCAATGGCCCTCAATATGGGATTCGAACTGCATCCCTGCTGCTCAGAGCTGGCGCTCCCAAGCGAGCTCTTAACCAGCTGAGCCACTCGGCTGGCCCGGACCTATTCGTTTCTTAATGAAACTGGGATGAACTTTATTAACTGAGGGCAGCGCCAATACAATTAAAAAAAAAAAGTGTTGAAAGACAGCAAAGTGTCTCTTACTTTCAATTCTGGTCTAGCACGTTGAACATTTAAAACGCTTACTGAAATTCTTTGCTTGGTGTCTAAGGGGTCTCCTGGGAAGGGACCTGTTTATTTTTGTATCCCTAGCATTTAACATAGGTTAACATGGGACATAGCTAAGGAGTCAATAAATGTTTGTTGAGACCAAAACATGATTGGGTGCCCAATGAAAGGTTTTAGTCCCGACTGCGGAGCTTATGAAAAGTGGAGCTGCCTGAGGACTCTCTCTGATCCAGAAGTGCCAGGGATGAGGGCCCGGCATCTATAAGTATAAAGTTTCACACCTGTTTGGATGTTCTTTAGACAAGAATAAGAATCAGGCTAGCCGAGTGGCTCAGTTGGTTAAGAGCAGGAGCTCTGAGCAACAGGGTGCCTGGTTCAATTCCCACATGGCCAGTGAGCTGAGCCCGAGCTGAGCTGCTGCTGAGCTGCCAACAGGTGGCAGGATGGCTCAGCTGGCAAGAGCATGTGCCCCTAACAACAAGGTTGCCAGTTCAACTCCTGCATGGACGGTGGGCTAAGCCCACCCACAACTAATATTGAACACCGCACCTTGAGCTGAGCAGTGGATGGCGACTGGACTTGGAGCTGAGCTAGCTGCACCCTTTACAACTAAGACTGAAGGACAACAACTTGGCTGGTCCCCTTCCCCAATCCCCCAACACTGTTCCCCTTCCCCAATTCCCCAATAAAATCTTTTAAAAAAAATAAAAAATAAGAATCATTGGTCTGGTGAGTGGTGGGCCCACTCACAGAGTTAGGGGACCCAAAGATAGAGTTCTCTCATTTTTTACATTTTTACTTACTTATTTATTTAATTTGGATCACTGCAGAAAGGCTAGTAAGCAGAGGTTACTCACGTTGGGTCATCTTTCACATGTAGGTAACAGTAGGTATTTATCCTGTTTGTACTTTTTGAAGCTATGAAGTTATTCTGAAGGACAGAATTCTGGAAAGAATTCACTTCCTCTCAAACCCAGTACATTCTTAAAAAAAGGTCTCTGATTCCAAAATAACCTGAAGCTATAGTCACATATAAAGTCATCACATCCAGTTGGCAAAAGACTAAAGGTCTTTTTTCTGAGTGTCTATTTGGCAGTAATCAAGAGATTGGTTTTAAAAACTACCTTCGGAGGAAGGGAAAGTCTCATTTAAAAAAAATTACCTTTCTCTCCAAGGATGTAGGGAAAAAAAAATCCTTTGAGATAATTTGCAACTAAACAAGCAACTTGAAGTGCAAAGGAAAATCCAAACTCATTTTAAAAAACACCTCATACGCATTTTTTCTTTTAACTTCATGTTTCAAAAAATATGTATTATTTTTCGAAAAGCTGACAAAAGCTAGCATATACCCTCCTCAGCTTAACAGTCTTCCAAAGAGCACATCCGACTGCCATGAAACGCAAAAATGGATATTTAATTCAAGAGCTATATAACGTCTAGCTACCTTTTCCCTGCTGTTTCACAGCATTTCATTATTTTGTTTAATAAGTTCATCTCCTCAAGAATTTTCTCTTCACCTCATATTATTAAAAGTAATAAGTTTTTCTGGACCGGGGGTTTCCCAACAGAAAAACCAATTTATGTGTGTCCTTCAATAATGACAGGAAAAGATTATTTCCCATTATATTGCATACTTTTCATATCACCACCACAGCTTATCATTCAATAAATGTTACTCTGCAATTCTTTCCATTCCTCAAGAAAGTTTAATTTCTGCATTAACCTGTTTTTGCTGGCCAACGCCTTACCAGAAAGCCTCTGTGTTGCAGCAGAATTAGTTCGTTAAAGAACGCATTTAGGAATCTCTTGTCAGTGATAAAATTGTCTTCAGTTAATAAAAGGACATAAAGTAAGTTTACATCTTGATCACACATACTTACTCCCACACTCACACTCACTTTCTGTTAATCGTACATTTTTCTCCATAAATGTGTTTTTTTGTAATGAAAGGTAAATTAAACATTTATCTTAATAAAGGTAACTCATTCACACCTTCTGCATATAAAGACAGTTATCATGGCTGTATCCAGTATTATAAATAATGTTATCTTTACTCTGAAGAAAGATTTGCTGGCGATAATATACCTTGTTTCCAGTTTTCCAGAAGAAATCTCTGATGGCCCGTAGCATTACTATTGCTACAGGGAAGGTGGCATTTACTGTTTCTTTTCCAGTAGATGTCTTAATAAAATCTGATCCTAAAACAAAAGGAAGAAAAACTCCATGTTAATTTAAAAACTTATTTTTTTATGATTTTGAGTCAGTGGAAAATGTGAGTCGCATAAATTTTTTTTCCTGAGGAACACAACTTTATTTTTCATTAGTTCTTTGAAAACCCAAAAAAAAACCCCAAAAATTCTCTTTTTAAAATAATTCTGTCCTTACTTTTTCTTCCCCTTATTATAACATGAATTAAATTAAGCACTAAATGGCTTTGTATGGACCCCTGGGGCTATTGCCTCTATATTTCCATATTACCAATTAAAATCAAGTTGGTTTATTTAATGCATAACTGAGATGAATAAAAACAAGTTTTATTCCCTGTGCTTAACATCATATAACACTTTACTACAAAACTGGAATGCCAACTAATGAAGAATCACCATTAGCTAATTTCTACTGTGTTGTTTGTTAATAAAAGCACTATTATGTCTTCCATCCGTTTAGGATTTTCATGAAAGACATTTCATAACTGGAAAATATTTTAAATAACTTCCTGTGCCTCAAATGTATCTTAAACCTATTTATGTGGTTTAACAGAATAACACAAGGAGACAAAGAAATAATAATATAGTTAAGACTCACTGAATGCAACGCACTGTGCACTATTCTAACCAATATGCTACAGTGTCTCCAAGGAATTTACCTAGGTTCACACAGTCAGATAGCCAGAGGTTCCCTCTTTCATGTGGTGGTTACCTATCCCCAAAAGACGCATAGTGTGAACCACAAATCTGCAGCATGTGCACCACCAGGCAGCTTGTTAAGCATGCAGACTCTCAGGCCCTGTGCTAGACGAACTGAATCTGAATCTACATATAAACAAGGTTCCTAGGTGATTCCTTATGCAAATTTATAGCCCTAGCCCACTGAATCTATGGACCCATGTGTAAGGCTATCTCTGAGATTTTCCCAAGGTCCATCAAAGGAGTGGTTGATGGAAGTGGAGGGAAGAAGTGGCCAAAACACCCCTCTAGTTTCAAATGGAAAAGGTACTTCCACGGCCATTCTGTGGATTAGAAGATTCAAATTGATACACCTTTAGTAAGTGCACTGTATGTCAAGCACAGTGAAAAATATAAAAACAAATAATTCAAACCCTTCCCTCAAAGGCATGCACATTCTACATGCAAGTGGAAATAAGACATAATCCTGGGCAATCACTTGATGAGCTAGCAGTCAGGAGATCTGGTTTCTAGCTCTGGCTCTGATCCTTACCTTGCAAATCCCATCTCCTAACCTTTATCGTTTGTAAAATAGTGAAAATTCTTACTGGCTTCATAGTGTTACATAAGGAATCAAAAGAGACCATCTATTGGAAAGCACTTTGAAAACTGTCAAGTATACAAATATAAATGGAGCAAGGATCAAGGTAGCGTTGCAATCCCTGTAAATACCATAGGAATTTGATATATCAAACAGGTCATTGTAAACCCTCTTTTGTTTTGCTCTGTAGGCAGGCCCATGGGAGAAATGGAGACATACCTATCATGCTTGCATTCATTCAACAAATATTTACTGAGCGCTTATGATGTTCTAGATGCTGGGAATAGACCACTTAACAAAATAGACAAAGTTCCTGCCTTTGTGAGAATTTCTAGAAGAGAAAGACAATAAACAAATACATAACAAATGCCAGGTGAAGATACGTGCTGTGAAGTAAAATAACACAAAGTAATGAGATAGAGAGCGATGGATTTGGGGAGAGGTAGCTAGATTTAAATAGAGTCCTCACAAAGCATCTCTAATGAGTGAAATTCAGAGATTGAATGACAAGAATCTGTGAAAAGAGTATCACAAGCAGGGAAACAGCAAGTGCAAAAGCCCTGAAGGGGGCATGAGCTAAATTGATTAGTAGATGAATGAATGAATGAATGAATATGAATATGAAAGTAGTGGGACCTGGCTCCTACAACATCAGAAGACAATCAGAGAGGAAATTAAAACCTTCATATAGATGTAAGAAGGTGAGGGGAACATCCCCAAAGAATTCACAATGAGACCAAGATGTGTTTTCTAATATGTGACACTGCTTGGACTCACAAGAAGGCTGTTGGGTAAAACACTGGATATCATTTAAATTCTTTTAAGCATCTTAGAAGAGAAGTTTATTAATATAAAAGACAAAGACCACATTTGGAGGCCTTATAAAAAGGTATAGTCACTTAAAAAGCAAACCATCAAAAGTGAACCAAAGGCCAGCCGAGTGGCTCACTGGTTAGGAGTTGGCTTTGGGAGTGCGAGCTCTGAGCAGCAGGGCCACCGGTTCAAATCCCACATGGTCCAGTGACACTGCCCTCTACAGCTAAGATGGTGAACAACAGCTTGATCTGGAGCTGGGCTGCTGTGAGTCACTGGCGACGGCGTAGGCTGCCATGAGCTACCATGAGTGGCCGGCAGCTGGCACGAGCTGCCCTGAGCTGCGGTGAACCACCTTGAGCAGCCATCCAATGGCCGGCGACCAATCTGTCTCAGCTGGGAAGAGTGCAATGATTAATACCAACATGGGCCAATGAAGCAACATCCTCCACAACTAGACTGAAGAACAAAAGGACAGCAACTTGTCTGTTCCCCTTCCCCGATTCCCTAACGCTGTTCCCTCTCCCAATTCCCCAATAAAAAAATCTTAAAAAAAAAAAAGTGAATCAAAAGAATGTTTGGAAATGTTTGGAGGCAGGGTCAGGGAGGACACTCTCCTAATATATCACAGTAGCCCGGGGATATATAAATACATTTAAATATTTTTTTAAATTTCAAACACGTTCAGATCTACGGAAACAGTGTGAAGACAGTCGAGTTTCTATATACCCCACACCCAATTTCCCCTATAATACAACTTGTATTAGTATGCTACATTTGTTACAATTAATGAATCAATATTGATATTATTAACCAAAACCCATACCATAGATTTCCTTAGTTTTATTCAGAATCCAGTCTCATCCAGAATACTGTAATACATTTGTCGCATCTCCATAGGCTCCACTTGGCTTCTTTGCCTTGAGCTTTGTAAACTGCACTGATTTATAACACGACTTACGACAGCACCTTTTTCTTCCACCTCCTTCATTTGATGTGAGACGTACTTTCACATATTGGTAATACAGTTAGATGCTTTGGTAGTAGTCTGCATTCGATCCTGGAATCCCCTGGCCTCCTAAACGATTTCTTTTTTCCATGTGCATACGTACATTAAGGTTCACTCTGTGTGAAACTTCTAGTGGTTTTAAGAAATGTACAGCGTCATGTACCCATCATTACAGTAACATACAGAATACTTTCACAACTCTAAAAAATCTCCTGTACGTCACATTTTCACCTCCCCTTTGCACTGGCAACCACTGATCTTCTTACTATCTCAATAGTTTTGCCTTTCCCAGGAATCTTGTAATTGGAATCATATAGCTTTTCAGATTGGCTTCTTTCACTTGGCAATATGCATTTAAGGTTCATGCATGTCTTTTCATGGTTTCATAGTTCATTTCTCTTTATTGCTGAATGATATTTGTTATATGGATACACCACAGCTTGTTTATCTATTCGCCTATTGAAGAACATCCTGGTTGCTTCCAGTCTTTGGCAATTATGAATACAGCTGCTATAAATATTCATATGCAGGTTTTTGTGTGGACATGTGTCTTTAAATCAGTTGGGTAAGTATCTAGGGGCAACAGCTAAATTGTATGGAAAGACCATATTGAGCTTTGAAAGAAACTGGCCAACTGTCTTCCATGTAGCTACACCACTCTGCAGTCCTACCAGCAATGAATGAGAGTTCCTGTTGTTCCACATCCTTGCCAGCAATTTGTGTTGTCAAGTTTTTTATTTTAGCCAATCGAATAGGTATGCATTTAGATTCTGTAGATATTTTTGTTACATTACACCCAAGTATTTCATCTATGGGTTGCTATTGTAAATGGTAGTTTTTCAAACTTCAAATTACAATTGTTAATTGCTGGTAGATAGGAAAGGAATAGACCTTTTGTATGTTAGCCTGGTATCATGCAACCTTGGTAAACTCAGTTACAGGAGTTTGTTGGTTTGGGGGGATTTTCTCCATAGACAATCATGTCATCTATGAACAAAGACAGTTTTATATCTTTCTTCCTGTATTAATGTCTTGTGGTTGTTATAACAAATTATAACATACACGGTGACTTCAAGCAACATAATTTTATTCTCTCACAGTTCTGGAGGCCGGAAGTCCCAAATCCAAGTGTCAGCAAAGCAGGATTCCCTGTGGAGGCTTTAGGGGGAATCTGTTCCTGGGCTCTACCAGCTTCCTAGGGCTGCCGGCACTCCTCGGCTGCATCACTCCAATCTGTCTCCATCTTCACATAGCCTCTTCTGTATGTGATTAGTCTTCCTCTGCCTCTCTCTTACAAGGAAGGACTTTTGTGATGCTATTTGAGGTCCACTTGGATAATCCAGAATAATTACTTCATCTCAAGATCCTTAATTTAACATCTGCAAAATGCTTTTTTTCCATATAAGGTAATATTCACAGGTTCTAGGGATTAGGACGTGAACATACCTTTGGGAGCCATTATTAGCCTACCACACTTCTCAATCCGTATACATTTTATTTCCTTTTCTTGTCTTATTGTACTAGCTAGGACTTGCAGTGCAATGTGAATGCGAGTTGTGAGAAAGAACATCCCCCTCCTTTGTTCTTCAGCGGAATAGGAAAAAGCATCCAGTTTCTCATTATAAGTATGTTAGCTATAGTTTGTTTACAGATGTTCTTTATCAAGCTGAGGATGTGTCCCTCTATTTCAAGTTTGCTGGGAGTCTTTTATTATGAAGAAGTGTTAGAACCTTTCAAATGCCTAATCTGTATCAGCTGATACGATATGATTTTTCTTGCTTAGGTTACTGATATGGTGGATCATATCAACAATGAACCAGGCTTGCTTACCTACAGTAAATCTCACTTGGTTGCAGTATATAATTCTTTTTATACATTGTTGGACTCATT